ATTATTGTTGTTGTTAATAAATCTAGTCGAAAAATACCTTGCCGAAAAAAATAAATATAGTCTCTATTACATTGCTGAAAAATACTTGGCTCTGATACCATGTTAGAAACTGTAATTCTATATATTTGGGCTTTAAGCCCTCATAGAAGATTATTTCATAATACTCCAGAGTACTATATCTTTATTGATTAATAAAGAATATACAAGGCCCCTTATAAATGTACAACTAGTAACAGTTCTGGATAGACACCAACAATTATCAATAATTAGTAACTCAAGAGATATATACCCATAATGATGTATATCAATACTAACACAAGATATCCATATCCATACTGATATGTATCAGTAATGATGTATATCAATACTAACATGAGATATCCATTCACTAACACACTCAAACTCTTCTTTTTTTGTCTCTCTTTAAAAACACTCTTACGACCTTTGCCTCTTCCACCTCATTCTATCTTCATCTCTATCTATTGATGAAGCCTAAGAAAAGTCAAAGCGGTGGCCTAAGGCAATGTTTAAAAGGTGGCACAAGTGTCTACATGTTGCTCTAAGACGATGATATGAAGCTTCAATAAGAACAAATAAGCATATAGATTGATGATGGGAACCTTCATTGAGCATCTTAATCGAATGAAATGTTAGTAAAGAAAGATTTAAATAAGCAAGGTGGGAACCAAACAAAAAAAAATCGAGAAGAAGATCACCGAAGTGATATATATAAAACAGGTAAGGTTATTGAAGACCATACTATTTGATTAAATTCCTATATTGTTTACTATTTAAATGCAATAGTGAAGGTTTCGTTGATTTAGTGAATGCTTCCTATCTGTTCCTTTTTGCGGAAGCATTTTTATTCTATATTTTGGAATTTTTGTCCCAACAAATTTCTATCAAATTGATATCAGAAACAAGGGGTGTAAAGCATGACGTCTGCACGTATCATATTCCAACCTCAAGTTCAACGTCTTACAAAAGAAAATGATGAAAATTTGTGCATTCAAATGAAAGCATTGCTCAAATCACATGATGCGTGGAAGGTCGTTAAGAACGGATACAATGAACCTCAAACTCAAGAAGATGACGATGCATTGACAAGCAATCAAAAGATAATTCTAAAAGAATCGAGGAGACTAGATAAGAGAGCCCAAGAATCGAGGAGACTAGATAAGAGAGCTATCTTTTTAATCCATCAGGGCATTGACGAAAGCACTTTTGAAAAAGTTGCTTCCGCCACCTTTGCAAAGCAAATGTGGGAGATCTTACAAAATATTTTCAAAGGAGAAGACAAAGTAAAGAAAGTCCGTTTGTAGATATTAAGACTTGAGTTTGATTACTTCTCAAAGGAGAAGACAAAATTAATTTCTGATTACTACTCAAAATGTTGACCATAGCAAACCAACTCAAGAGATATGGTGAAGTGCTAGGTGAGGTACATATCATGGAGAAAATATTAAGATCTCTTACCCATAAAATTGAGCACACAGTTGTAGCAATAGAAGAAAGTAAAGATTTATTGACTATGACTACCGATCAACTCTTGGGTTCCTTGCATGCCCATGAACAAAGAATGATGAAGAAAGTAAACACTCATTTGGAGCAAGTGTTCAAAACCAATCTCTCCCTAAAAGACGAAAGAGGAGGATTTAGAAGCAGAGGTCAAAGATGACTTGGGATATTCAATAGAGGTGGATGAGGTTACGGAAATTCCAATTCCAATGCCAGATGAGGAAACAACCAAATGTTGGAATCCTCAAGAGGTTGAGGTGGTAGAAATTTTGCTCGGCCATTCATTCGTTAAAGGTACGTTAGATGTTCAATTCAATACTTTAATTGCAAAAAAATTGACCATTACAATTCTGAATGCAGATTTAAGAACTCCCAAGAGAATGAGAACAAGTGAATATTGCAAAAAAATCCAAAGAAGATCAAGAACCAACCCTCCTGTTGGCTTGAAAAGAAGAAGAAAGTGCAAGTACCAACTCATGGTTTCTTGATAGTAGGGTAAGCATCCACATATGCAGAAGAAAATCAATGTTCATGGAGTTGGAAGAAAAGAAATGTTCGTGGAGTTGGATGACTCAGTGAACAGTAATGATATCAAAACTGATCTTTTTCAATGTTTACATGTATCTTCAAAGGAAAAGCCATGGTTACGACACTTGAGGTTTGGACACTTCAATTTTAATGGATTAAAATTATTGCATAACCAAAACATGGTAAATAGGCAGCCACTAATTGATCATCCAGAACAACTTTGTGGAGGATGTGTATTCGAGAAGCATCACCATGAAAGCTTCCCAAGTGGTGTTTCACATAAAGCATCAAAGCCCCTAGAACTCATTCATATGGATGTATGTGGGCCACTTAGTCCTATTTCTTATATGTAGCACAAGTATTTCCTTACTTTCATTGATGATTTCAGTCATAGGACTTGGGTTTATTCCTGGAAAGAAAAACCAGAAGTTTTTGAGATGTTAAAAAATTTCAGGGCTTTTGTGGATAAAGAGAGTGGTTACTTTTCATTAAAGTTCTAAAATCAAATAGGGTGGTGAATTTTCCTTAGTTATTTGATGAGTTTTGCAAGTATCATGGTATTCTTCATCAATTACAGCACCATATTCACCTCAACAAAATGGAGTGGTTGAAAAGAAAAACCAGACAATTTTGAATATGGCACGAAGCATGTTGAAATGCAAAAATGTGCTAAAGAATTTTGGGCTGAAGCCGTCTCTTGTGCTGTCTATATTTTGAATAGGTGCCCCACCAAAAGCGTGCAATTTAGGACACCCCAAGAGGCTTGGAGTGGACGTAAGCCTAGTGTGGCACATTTAAGGGTATTTGGGTGCATTGCATACAAGAACCAAACTAGAGGACAAAAGTCAAAAATGTATTTTTATTGGAGATTACAAGCTTTATGATCTTGAAAATATGAAATTGACGATTAGCAGAATTTAATGAAGAAGCCTCATGGGAATGGAATAAAAAAGAAGAGAAAATTTATGTAAAAATTGAATTGGATGGAAATGACATTGTTCAAGAGAGATCACAAGAAAATATTCCACCCTCATTTCCTCAACAAGAGTCAAATTTATCTACTCCTTCCATGGATGAAAGTTTAAATGAAAGGCCACCAAAGACACATAGTTTGAATGAAATTTATGTCCATACAAAAAATACTAAAAAAGAACACAATTTATTTTGTTTCTTTGTTGAATGTGAACCTGTAGGTTTTGACAATGCAGTTCGTGAAAAAAGGTAGAAAAAAGCAATGGATGAGGAGATTCAAGCTATTGAGAAGAATGACACATGGGAGCTTACAACACTTCCGAATCAGCATAAAGCAATTAGTGTAAAATGATTTATAAAGCAAAGAAGAATGAGAAAAGTGAAGTAAAAAGATACAAGGCAAGACTGGTTACTAAATGATACAAACAAAGAGTAGGGATTGACTACAAAGAGGTATTTGCTCCTGTTGTTAGATAAGATACTATTAGATTAATTATTGCTCTGGTTTCCCAAAGAATATGGAAAATTTTCTAATGGATGTCAAATCTGCATTTTTGAATGGTCATCTTGAAGAAGAAGTCTATATTGAACAACTACCAGGTTTCATGCAATGGTTGTATAGTAATATACTGCAACCACACTTCTAAAAAACCATTTTTGTAGCATTTGTATCCAAAAATTGCACATACCCACACTTCATCCCAATTGTCCATTTTCAAAAAAATAAAATTTAATTTTCATCATAGATGTGGTTAAAATGAGTCATCTTCAACATTGAATCTAGACCGTCCATTTTATGAATTTCAAGATCTAGGCCTTTATGAACTCAAAACCAATTTTTTTTATTTTTCAACATTGTTCATCTAATGATGACAAAGCTATCCAAAATTTTTGAAAAGAGATAAATCATTCTAAGGCCTAGATCTAAGAACCTTAACAAAATGGACAGCTTAAGTCGATTGAGCTAAAATAACACTTCTAGGTTGAGGGAAAGAAAGCACATACAGACTCCTTAAACATTGATGTGAACCATTCATTTTTTTAAAGTTATAAAATGAATGAATGATTCAAATTGTATCCAGAATTTCATAAACATTCAAGCCGGTTATCAATTACATTTACACATGACTTCTTAAATATTCCAGCAAGTTATCAAACACAATTACTAACAATTCTATGAAGATAGAATTGTACCTCCCTGGAAATAAAAACTTCGAATTTGTAGAGAATGTTTTCATTCCTGGAATCAAACATGCCTGAAAGGGTCGGTTTGATTTTGAATCCTCGTACCACCCAGATTCAAGGTAAGAGGACTATGGAGTGGTATGATGTTTTTGAAACAAACAAACTAACTGTAGGGTAGTCAGATGTTTCAAACATCAAATCGACCTAGAATTGAGCTTTGGCCTCCGAGATAGCCCTAGATTTCAAGAAAATAAAAAAAAATAGTGTAAAAAACCAGTCGGTTGTTTGCAACATAGGATTGGGGTAAAAAAATAAATAAAAGTACGGAAAGGTAAGACCTTTGCATAAATTTCTTTTAAAAATTGAAGCATTAAATAATCTTTGTAAAGTTTCCTTATTTTTCCTATTAGAAATGACAATCTTTACGTGTACCGTGTTTAGTTGGGGACCCCTCAAATGATTTCCCAAAGAAAATCGACCATTTTGGAGCAAAGTAGTTTCTTTAAATTTTCTTTGTCAATTCAGAGCGCCACAATTTTCAAACCTTATGACCCACCAAATGGTTAGGTTTTGCATATGGACTTTGTATCTTCTTCCTTTAAAAGAGTGGAAAATAATTGACTTATTTTGTAGACCATCATATCCATAGAGCCCTCTTCTCCCCTATGATTTAACTTATCTTCAGTAAATAAATAAATTCTCAAATTCGTGAGGCTTAGGGGCAGAGTTAGGACTGTTACTAGTCAATTGTAATAGTTCAAATATTGTTTCCCCTCTATCAATGCCCTTGTGGAAAATTGCGATGAAGACTTTGAATCTAAAGTCTAGGCATTTTTTGAAGTCATGGCAAGAGTCTTTGCTCCATTCTTCACGATGCCTTGTAGAACCCGTTAAGCTCGCACCTCATAAAACCCAATGAATCAATCATAGTTAGGCATCACAACTCGATTAGGGAACACTTCATTTGGGAATTGCCATTGCTTTCTTCATTGGTATTGCAACTTTCACTGTTTCCTAGCAAAAGTCTCCACTACTAAGGTGAAGTTCTCATTACCGCTATTTTCCTCCACTTTCATTTGAAATTCGCAATACTGCTTTCTAGTATCAACTGTAATAAACCTCGGATTTCCTGGAAAATCTGTAGTGTCCCTTAATTTGTTCTTCCTTGTTGGGCCTAAGACTACTTCTCAAAAGTAAGAAATCTCACCTCTTTACAGCTACCTTCAATTTTTTGCAGTCTGGTCGTTCTCTCCGGAGAGAACCGTTTGGCCATGTCATCGGCGAAAGCTATTCTATCCATGATCGCTTCAACAGCTGCCTCTGCAATGCTCATGCGTACAATAATCAGGGATTACCTCCCCCCTGAAATCCACAACTATATATCCTCAAGGATACATTGGCTCAGTAAACGTTTCTCATCACAATTGTCCATGGTCATTGAAGACTATGAGGGCTTTGAGATCAACAAGATCTATAAAGCTGTTGAAATCTACTTGGGCAACAAAGTCTCACCAACGGTCAAGAGGCTAAGGGTTGCAAAATCAGAGAAAGAGAAGGGCTTCAAAGTCACTATTGAAAGGAATGAGGAACTCGTAGACACCTTCGAATGTGTCGAGTTCAAATGGAGGCTATTTTGCTATGAAACCCCACGTATGGTCACTGATCATGAGAGAATGATTCCCATGAAAGAAACCAGGTTCTTTGAGCTTACCTTTCATAAGAAGCACAAAGACATGGTTTTGGACTCCTACTTCCCTCATATCATGGGCCATGTCAAGGCCATAAAACAAGAGAAGAGCCTGGTGAAGCTCCACACCCTGAACCATGAAATCCACTTTAGTAACACTAGAGAAATATGGCGCCATGTGATTTTCAACCACCCAGCAACATTTGATACCCTTGCCCTCGATGCGTCTCTAAAGGAGGAAATCATGCTTGATCTTCAGAGGTTCTCAAAGAGAAAGGACTTCTATAGGAGAGTCGGTAAGGCATGGAAACGTGGATACTTGCTCTATGGCCCTCCAGGCACTGGAAAGTCTAGCCTAATAGCCGCTATGGCCAACTTCCTGAACTTTGACATTTATGACCTTGAACTTTCTTCTCTTCGATCTGATTCTGATTTCCGAAAGCTCATCATTACCACCACTAACCGATCAATCTTGGTGGTTGAGGATATTGATCGCACGGTGGACCTAAAGGAGAGAGAGAAACCCATGGTCCAATATCCCATGCAAAGAGAGAATGGGGGGGTGACTCTATCAGGGCTGCTCAATTTTGTTGATGGATTGTGGTCAAGTTGTGGGGACGAAAGGATAATCGTGTTCACAACAAATAACAAGGAGAAGCTTGATCCGGCATTACTCCGGCCAGGCAGGATGGACAAGCACATACACTTGGGGTATTGCAACTTCTTTAGCTTCAAGAAACTATTTTCAAATTACCATTTAGTGGATGATCACCCCTTGTTTGAAGAGGTTAGAGAATTGATTGAGGAGGTGGAGGTAACCCCAGCTGAGGTAGCTGAACAACTTATGAGAAGTGATGATGTTTGTGTTGTACTCCAAAGCCTAATTGAGGCCATGAAGAGGAAGAGAGAAGAGATGACTCAAAGTAAGCAAATCATTGAAGAAAATGGAGAGGGAGGCGTCTTTCTAGAGGAACAGTAGGGAGAGGAGCCAAAGTAGAGAACTCAAAGAAGAAAATGGAGAAAAGAGATGACTGCTTTCTAGATTCAAGGTCCATTATTTTTCTCTTTTCATGACTAGGAAAGTTTGCTACAAGAGTTCCACAAGCCCCATCACAAAGAGTATCACAAAGAATATTACTGAGTTGAATACTTCTAGCTCCTCTAGTTCTAGTGACAGCCATATGTTTTGGGTCCTCCAAGAAGAATTCTTTTATGATCCAAATTGACTCAAGGCATTTAATATCCTTTTTTCAATATATAATAATTGTCCCTTTCTCATAGCATAAGAAATTTTAGCTTCTCTTCGAAAAATAATTGACACAGTTGAAAATTTTAATTTACCAGAAACAACAACAGGCAAAACCACTATGTTTTAGAGAGAGAAATAAAAAAATTGAGAAGAGCTCGGTAAGAACAAATCACAATGTGGGAGTCTAAGTCCACCATGCACCACTAGAGCACAGAAAAAAGAAACCCACAAAATGGGCTCTCAATCTCTCTCTCTTTCTACATAATAACTTTATTTTATTCCTTAAAATAACCACCACACACATTATAACTTTTTTTTTTAACACTTTACAACTTGCTTTTGACAGCTCCCTACAAAAAGAAAAGTCTACCATTTCAACGTTAATCCTAATGGTTGGTTTCTATCTCATGTGACTCTCAAGAGATAACTCCTAATATATCTCCCTACTAAATAATCAATATGATAACTAACCAAAACAAACCTATTGTTAGATTATTTCTATCCACATCCTAACCTAAAAGATAAAGAAAAATTGTTTCATGCTGGTTGGACCGCATTTTTATAATATACGGTCCACAGGTATAAAGCATCAATCTTAAAGATGGATGCAAATAAGTGGTTCATCTAAAAATAATTATAACTAACAGTGCAAATGTTTTCTTAATATAATTATTATTTTTAGTTTAAAGAAAAACAAATTTCATATTCATGATCTTCATGTTAAAGATTATATATTCTCTAAAAATTAAGATCAAATTATATTTAAAAAATATTTATTGCCGAGCCTACATTTCTAAAATATGCAGGCTGGCCGCATAGAAAACGTGTCCAAAGACAAAACCCCATCTAATAGAAACCCTCCACTCTAAATAAATAACCATATACCCACCTTATCTTAGGAAACAAAGCTCTAAAATGCGATCTAAATATTTTCTCCAAAGATTTCCTTAAATGGACTGTAAAGAAATAACGACTTATCATAGTCCAGATTGACTTTATCGAACAAAAAGTTGTCTTTCCATAAAAAATAAACGGACTTAAGCAAACTCTAAAGAATAAAGAAAAAACAAGTCACAAAGAAATTTAAATAAAGACGAAGCCTTGGCTAGAAGTAAAAATAAATAAAATAAACATGATAACTCTTCGCTAATTTTTCTTCTTGCAATTGCGATATGACAACTCCAAAAAAATATGATGCGATAATTTCGACTGCATCATTCTCCCATGGTTGGAAAAAACTCGTCATCGAGTTTTAAAATGATCTAAAATGAAATTTGAATTAGTCCTGCAACTTTATTCGACTCAAATATTGTAAACATGATCACGTGTCTTGTGGGTTACTATATTAATCAAAACACAATGATTGTGCGTTGAAAGTGATAAACCCTTGAGGAATGGGTCATTGTATAGCCATAGAAGTTGTTGATGCTCAGCTCTAAAACATACTAAGGGAGCATCTTCGAGATGAGCACTTTCGATGACTGAATTAACTTCACTTATCGATTCTCCTTTGAGGCCATCCACCTTTTTTTCTTTGTGAAGAGTCTCCATGGGCTCGATCTCCTTTGGGTTTGGGTCGATGTCTTTCTTATCCATCTCTCCATTGATGAGAAAGTTAAATATCCTTGCTTCTTCAAAGTCAAATTTTCTCCTTTCTTCTTGTTTTTCATCAAATATAACACTTTCATAAAAAATAGAGTCCTATATGACATCAATGAATGATAATTCCAATTGAAGATCTAAACCTACTTGCTCTTCATCTTTAACTGGACCTTCATCAAACTTAGATAGATCACTCTCCCGACTATGAGACTTCTGACGCAGAATGTGCATACAGAACGGGTTCTCGAAAGCAGCTTCTAACTCACTACCATCATCATAGTGTGTCGGTTCTGAAAGAAAGACTAATGTGATCTTGTCGGGGAATATAGTTATTTTTATTTCTTCTTTTCACCTTTTTTTTTT